CCAAAAAGGCTGCTGGATCACGCATGATGAATGTATGCACGTATTTATAATTACATTTATATATATATCTTAATGGCGCGACATTTGAAATATACACTCTTTGCTCTAGATATAACCAAAGGAAGGGTATTTTTTGTCGTAAGGCGCGAAATACGTTACTGTTTGCCATTTTGGTACACGATGCAAGAATAGAATCTTTATATGAAAATCGTGGTGGCCGTGATAGGTGAGACCCACTGTACAGTTTTCTTCAGGTTTCTTTCCAGACTGGAATTGTTATGAAACGTTTATCAAAGGTAAGTGATTACTGGCAAATCGAAACATTTTCTAAAATTTCAAATACTTCTTTTATTAATATGGCCAGTAGAACACAATAACTAACCTCTTGATCTTTTATGCCTCTTACACAGTGTTCGCTTTAAGAAGGAAGATATGATTATAAGGTGGAAGTGATAATGAGAGAGGGAGATCCTTAGTAATAGACAGAGAGACGAACATCTTATCACGCAGGCAGAAAATAATTATTTACTTCCATAATGGACGTTTTGAAGAAGCACGATGAACTATTATGACCAACTAAGTTTACAAGGATGGAGGCTTCAAGAGGGAGAAGCAATTTTCATCTTCATAAAACATCAGATTAAAGTTGCTTTAATCACAGATTCAGAAATAAAATGACATGACATGGAAATTGGTATGATTTTGTTTATTGATATTTCTGGACCAGCCTTTAATAAACTTTTCGTACTTTGATAGAAGATTTATAGTGGTCTTTTAAAAGAGATTTTACATTTCTACAACTAAACATAATTAGTGTCTGACACATGTTTACAAGTGTTTAGATTAACATGTAAAGTGTTTTAATGTTCTCTTATGAATAACATTACAAAATATATTTCCTATAAAAGAATAGTAGTAGTTTAGTTCTGTTATTTTCTTTTGATGACCTAAGAAGGACTTAAACACTATTTGAACATGTGTGCTCATTTATTCCTTTTTTAACTTTTCATACATTCTATATTTTATATCTTATTAATATTTATTGATGTGTAAGTATTTAGCCTGTCAGGACAAGATAGATTTGCAAATAGTAAAATGAGTGCTTGCCGCTATCAATGCTTGATACAGGACAATATCTTTATTTATTTATCTTAATAGAAAGGTATCTACCTCACGAGAGATTTAATTAATAAGCAAAATAAGTATAAATGAGAATCTAAATGATAATATTTCATGCAAAAACCAAGTTGAAAGTATATAAGAATTGGTTTAGTATCATTTCCTTTTTACGGCCTTGGTTATGTTCTTTATTTAGTGAAATGCTAAGAGTTTTAATGTGCTATTTTTTTCTCATAAGCCTTAAACTTCTAGAAACCTAAAAATGTATAATTTTATGTTGGCACTTACTTCTGCATCCACCTGCTTGTGCAACCACCAATGGCATGCCTGGCTCAGGGTTAGGGAAGATTTTCTGCAATAAATTCAAGTTTGCTATTTCTGTAGTAAATTTAATAGCTTTTGTTGTCAGTGCCAACATAGCATATGATAATTTACATACTAATTGTAATATAAAACGTTGCTTTGAAGTTGAAGAGCTCTAACCCACAAAATTGAAATTTTGAGTTAGTCTAATTTACTGAATATAGGAGCATTAAATGTGGTTCTTTTTGAATTGATTTTAACAAACAATTTAAACCCAACTGAAAAGAGGAGTTTCTAGAGTTGAAAAAAGGGTTTTCACAAGTGCAAATATCTGTTTCCCAAAACATGTTCAGTGTAGACTCACTAATCTAAATACACAGTTTCTTTACAGGGGTAAGGCATATCACTCCTTGGTGGAGCGAACAGATGCACTGCATGCAGAGGAAGAGCTAAATGCATTTAATTAAGTTGTTTCATTGCTGTGCTTGAGTGTTCTCAGTGTTATTGTATTATACCTGATATTTTAAAAATAAAGCCTTTTTAGATTTACCTTCTATTCAAGTAATGATGTGTTTAGTGTTGAAGTCTAAGCAATTGAAAACAGTCTTTTGCGATTGCATTTTCTAACAATTTCATCCGTTGGTGCTTCTGTGTACTTGTTTGGTTTTGTCTTGTTATGGTTTATTCCCATCCTTTTGTTTAGCTTATTTTTCCATAATGGTAAGACTGCATAGGAAAATATTCAGAGATAAAAATAAATGTTTGATTTTTGCTTTCATTCATTTTGTATTTTTTTTTTTTTATAAATAAGACAACACTTACAAGAAACTATATAGTACAACATTATCATGTATACTATTGCTAAATTTGGTGAGATTCAATCGCATTCTAAGGCTACAGAGCAGGTAATGTGAGACTGATAAATCAAGTATTGTTTACTGGTTTCGGAAGTATCTGAAGAAAACATTAAAATCCTTCAATCATGTAATTGGTATTATGTAAGTTTCAATCAGAAATTTTTGTTGAGTATCTGCTTATATAGGGGGAAGGACACCAAAGCAAAGAATAATTCTCTCAGTTATTCATCTCTAATTGAATGAATAAAGATTTTTTTGCTGCGAAATTACATAATGATAAGATCTTTTTGTTGCAACTGTTCTTCAAATAAATATTATTTCTCAGTAACACACTCAGGAAATAAATCTTTAATTCCAAATTTAGTAGCACTTCAGGCACCATGAGAATATCATCTATTTGATTAATTCTTGATGAGGAGATAGTTATCTCTTTTCCTTCCTATTAAAAGGATAAGTCTAATTCTTATCAACATTCACTATATGAAGTGTTCTTCTTCCTTAGAAGCAGGTTTAATAGATATAAAGCTACATACTTTATAGCGATGACCAGCAGTTTGGATGTAAATTCTATCAAGACTGCTTTGTTTGTGATTTGTTTTGCTTTTATTCGATAAGTCTGAAATTTCGGGAATGGCAAATGTGATTCCAGAATGTCTGAATAACAGAATACATTAAAAATCGAGTGAGACTGTTCCTACATATGAATAACAACTTGTTCCTTTTACAAGGAGGTACTATATCAAATTCATTCTTTTGAGCTATATAATATCTTCACCTAGTTTTGTATTAATCTTAGATTCAATTGTAGCATGTTTTATCTTAGAGTTGAGAATCTATAGCTAGCAACCTTGCCAAAAAATTATATTGGTAAAAAATGAAACATTAATCATTTTCATTTTTTTGCATTATTTCCTTACTTATTATGTGGATATTATTTCACTCTTGTTCTCTGCACGATCACCTTCTACCTACTTGTTTTCCGACCATTGCAACATTAATAATAATAATAATAATAATAATAATAATAATAAAAATAATAATAAAAATAATAATAATAATAATAATAATAATAATAATAATAATAATAATAATAATAAAAATAATAAATATTTATTGAGTCGCATATACAATTACAATCGTGTATGACGAGTCATTATGATGCCTTGAGTGGAGAGAGCGAAGTTACATTACTGTTCAGGAGCAAACAAGGGGCCATCTCAGCATTTGCTCAAAGGTCCAGGGAAACTGAACAAAACCTGATCAAGATGGGGTCATGGGCCTAGAAATACAATACTTGTCACAGTTAGATTAAAATATTATACAGTAGATAAATTATCTGCTAATATTTAACATTTCAATATGTTATTTTAATGCTACTACTTATAATAATAATAATTATTATAATAACAATAATAAATACATTAA